TGCATGATTATGACCAAGAGAGAGACTGTCTCAACTCAGCCCATGCTGTTCCTTTCGGCTCCGCTTTCCAATCCGGGACGCGCCTCTCCCAGGTAAGCCCTCACCCCCCCGCACAGGTGCATTGACACATGCACACATATGGGCTGGCTTTGTCCTCACAGCCCAAGAGTCTAACTGCACCTTATTGATATGGGAAAGTAGCTGTCTGTAGAATTCGTGCAAAGAGTAGTCAGTTCCTCCAGAGACGTCAGACATGTGGCTGAAGTGACACGGCAAGGTGGAGTTCACGGATGAGAGGAGGTAGGAGAATTGTGCGCCAGGCAGACTCGGGGACCAGGAGAGAGTTCAGTGTGGGAACTGATGTCACTGAGAACAATGGCAGAGAGCAGCCTTTAATAAATATTGATGAAGAACTGTTGAATGAATGAATCAATGAGCCAAGTGTTATTGTCATGTCTGTGTTGTCTGCCCTGCGGGACATGGCATGTTTTATAAGCATGAGCTACATGCAGAGACACCGCAAATGGCATCAGCACGCCGATCTGTTCCATGAATGCAGATCTAAGTCAGTCTTCTCAGAATTGCAATTATCCAGCAAGGTTGTGGCGGAGGGGTGGCCATGGGGACCCTTGCACCTACATGCCAGGAACACACACTGCCTTCCCCAGGGCCCCCTCCTCAGCCTCCTCAAAACTCCTCCCAAGGGGAGAATGCTCTGGAAAAATGAGGCAGGGTGAAAGTGGGCCTGCCTTTCTTGGAGGGAGGATGAGGATGGAGAGGGGTGACTGAGGACTGCCGTGGGCCTGGCCTTCGCGACGGCCGTGCAGTGACAACACAGGCTGAAGGGGGCGCTGTACAGGTGAGCTCACTTTGGAGCTCCTTTTCTTTCTTTCGATCAATTTTTTAATAAGTAATTTATTTTCATGGAGAAGGAAAGAATGAGAGGAGGGAAGGAAGGAAGGAAGCCGGGAGGGAAGGAGAAAGAAAACAGTAAAAAGTCTTCCTGTCCCTCGAAGGCCTGGTCCCAGGGACCCACCCCCTGCCCTTTAACCTGGTTTTGGTGTCTTTTGACTCTGTATGCAAATCCAGGTAAATACAAATATCGAATATCGGATATCGAAGGGAGGACTATTAAAGCCTTCCTCCACAAGACTGAGATTGGATCTTTTTGAAAAGTCTGCTTTGTGTGTGTGTGTGTGTGTGTGCACGCGCGCGCACGCGTGTGTGTGTGTGTGTGTGTGTGTGTTGTGTTGGGGGAGATGCCCCATTTTGCCTCCCCTGTGGAGCGAGCAGAGGCTGAGTCCTGCCATGTCTGGTAGCCCCAAGGAGCGGGGGCCACAGCTGAGCCGCTTCTGAGCAGGACCCTCAGTCCTGACAGCCCCTGGGATCAGCTGGCGGCCTCTGCCCGCCAGGCATCCTCCTCCAGCTTCTCTCCATAAACCCGAGGCTGCCTGACCCACACATCGTGGGAGTCTCTTTCTGGCGCCCCAGCTACTCTGACTGCTGGTGACAGAAAAACCTCGGAGTGTCCTGCATCCCCTGTCCCACGGCCCCGCTCAGCACCCACATCAGGGCAGGAGCTGAGAAGGTGTTTGCACAGTGAGAGGAGCTGGCCGGTCACATGCAGCCTAAATGTTGTCAGACTAAGGGTCACAGTCCCCAAACTGGCCTGAGACATCTGTGAACCAGTGGAGAAGGGGGACCCAGGAATACCAATGCGGAGTCCCGGGCTGGCAGGGACCTCTGGCTCCCACCCCACTGCCCTGTGTGCAGCTGGCTCATGGCCCATGGTAATACCCCAGAGGAGTGGTTCTCAACCCAGGGGAGCTCATCCCCAGGGGACATTGGGCAACATCTGGAGACGTTTTTGGTTGTCACAACTAGGGGGTTGGTGATGCTACTGGCATCTGGTGAGCGGAAGCCAGGGACGCTGCTCAGCAACTCATGCTCAGCAACTCGAGCCCAACCCGGAAAGGACCCAGTGTGAAGCTGAGAAACCCTGCTGGAGAGGCAGACCCAGGGCAGCGGGGGCTCCCTGTGCCCAGCCGCATTACACCCACCCGGCCAAACATAACGAGCTAATGAGCGCGGCGGGCCTCCGGGCAGGGATTTCTCCTCTTGTGAACAGGGACCTGCTTCTCCGGCCCCGCTTTGTGCTGGGCCCCGAGATACAGGGATGAATGGTGTATGAATCAGCCGGGTCCGGGGCTCGCAGCTTGGGAGGGGGCAGAAAAAGGGTCATAAATGACAGCAATCCCTGGAGGGGAGGCCGAGTGGAAGGACCTGGTCTTGGCCGGCCCAGAAAGTGGGAACGGGACACTGCGACCGGCCGCCCCGAAGCAGGATGGGGGAGCGCGGGCGGGCGGCCTCCCAGCCCCTGCAGGAGCGTACACAGCCGGGCTGGGCCGGCTGGCCCCGCGGCGGGATCAGGTTGCAGGATGTCGGGGCGGGGCTCGAGGTGGGGAGCAGGAGGCCGTCTCGGGTTGGCCGCGGGCTGGGGGGCGGACCCTCGCTGGAAAGTGACGTCCGGTGCCCGAGGCTCAGTAGCCACCCCGCCTCCCGCCACCCCAGGTGCGTGGGCGACAGTGGGGCGGCAAAGGGAGTCCGCAGCCCGCGCCCTCCCAGCACTCGCTCAGGGCAGGGCCGCAGCTGAAACGCTCCGTTAAGATCTCCATAAGCCCTTCCCGGGCCTCCTGCCCCCGCCGGCCCTCTGGTGCAGTCGGATGGTGAAGGAGCAGCTGTCGTCTTTGTGCGCCCACCTGGGCCGGTCGAATCAGTAAAGGGCGCTTCCTCTGGGGCCCTGGCTTGGAGAGTCCTGGGGCG